ATTCATATATTCCAAATATATCATTGAAGACAGACTAGATTTTTCTAAAACCCTTGCTAAAAACATATAAATGCTGTCCTATTTAAAGGTATAGAAGACAATCTCTTGGCTTTAAGTTCTGAAGGCATCATCGTTTGTCACACACGCCAGTTTTTGTGATGTGCTCACCTAATGCCAATGCATTTGCTCTTGCAACCTAGAGTTAATGTATCCAGTTACCTTTTGGCGTAGCTCTACTGGTATCACTCTATACTTTGGAAATGTCTGAGAGTCACAAGAAGAAAACTATCTCCAAAGTTTATGGGAAGGCAATGAAGGCCTCAGAAGAAAGAAATAAGTCAAAATAAGTATTTGGGAGTTCCATACCACTATGGCTGAAGAGCAGGAAGGATGGACTTGCATACATGCAGTTACTCAAATATAACTTGGGCATTTCTTACCTACATTTTCCGGAAATGATCCACTTTACAGAAACTAGATTATGGTTCTGCATAATATTAATATAAATTCATGGCCACTTTATTAGGTACACCTACCTAGTACCAGGTTGGAGTCCCTGTTGCCTTCAGAACTGCCTTAATACTTCAGGGCATAGTTTCTATAAGGTACTAAGCACATTCTTCAAAAACATGGGGAATTATTGATATGATAGCATGCAGAGTTGTTGGCTGCATTTCCATAATGCGATTCCTGCGTTCCACCACATCTCAAAGGTGTATCTATTGGATCAAGACCTGGTCACTCTGGAGGCCATTTAAGTACAATGAACCCATTGTTATGTTCAAGAAAACAATCAGAGATATTCAGGCTTTATGACATAATGCGCTATCCTGCTGGAAATAGCCATTAAAGGATGGATGCATTCTGGTCATAAAGGGATGGACATGCTCAGCAACAATACTCAGGTAGGCTGTGATGTTGACAAGATGCTCAAATATTACTAAAGGCCCCAAACTGTGCTAAGAAAATATCCCCAACACCATTAAGCCAACGGCCTGAACCATTGATACAAAGCAGGTTTGACACATGCTTTCATGTTGTTGAGGCCAAATTCTGACCCTACCATCAGCTTGAACCTCTGAAGAACTGCTGATCACTGCATATTTTCTCTTTTTTCAGTCTGTAAACCCTAGAGATGGCTGTGTGTGGAAATCCCAGTAGATCAGCAGTTATCGAAATACTCAACCCAGCACATCTGGCACCACTAACTGTTTGGTTTGATTGCCTGAACGCATTGAGTTGCTGCCATGTGATTGGCTGGTTAGAAATTTGCGTTAAAGAGCAGCTAGACAGATATTCCTAATAATAGGGCTGGTGTGTGTAAATATACATTAAAGACAATTTGTGTTTTTTTTTTATCTCTAATTAGGTATGAGACTTTGAGATGATTTACAAAAACATATACATTTGCCTTCTTCCCTATAAAACACCCACAAAAAATTGTTCTGAAAAGAGATTGAATTCTATATTTGTCATACTTAATGTTAGTATATTGATGTGAAAAAATTCTGTAGCCTACTGTATTTTGGTTCTCACTAATGATTAAAATGTCAAATTAGTTAGGACATTCCACTTGAGAGTACTAATGCTGCCACCATCTGTTTTAAAGGGGGACTGCTTTTCCCTTACACTTGTTCCCACTCCCGTAACAACTAATCAGGGGGTGTAGGGGTAGCCACAGGGGTGGCAAGTAAGTGTACGTAGTGGCCCTGCAAGTAAGCCAGCCCCGGGCCATTATCTAACTACGCCCCTGCTCCAGGCTGCCACCAGCCTGCCACCAGCCTGTCTGCCTTCTCATAGCCCGCAATCAATTTGCCAGCTTTTTCAGCTTCGTCAATCGTCATCTACATGTTGAAGCTCACTACTTGTCGGCATTCCTGATCATATCACAAACTCACACTTAACATTTAAGCACATGTCGGCCATATCTGCCAGATCATCAGATTTTGAGATTTCTCTAAAGAAAGATTTATTGATTGCACTACTAATAGACCTGGCCTGAGCTCTGCTGCTCCTCAAGTTAGTTTGAGCCTCGTGGTTGCCTCTGATTAATGTGCATGGGTTATCAGGTAAGATCAGTGGTCTGCAACATGTGGCTCTGAAGCTACATGTGTCTCTGAAGACCCACTACAAATGGCTCCTCTGGACTTAATTCAAAAATGTTAAAGACATGAAAAGAACAGCCTTTAAACTTCCCGTAGCCTGAAGATGCCTTGGAATCCCCCAGAATGAGTTGGACAAACAAACAAACCTCTAGTCAGTGGGGCTGAGGTTGATTTTTTTTTCATGAACTTTACTTTCAGAAGGCAAGGCAAGGCAAGGCAAATTTATTTGTAAAGCACAATTCAGTACAAAGACAATGCAAATTGCTTTACATGATTAAAATATAGGAAAATAAAACAGAATCAAAGCAAGTAGGAAAAAATAAATAAATAAATAAAAACTGGCATCCTACTGTACCATCACAAAGAACACACACCAGTATAGCTCCTTCAGTAATGATTGGTACTAAGGAGAAAGTTAATGAATGACGAGATCCGGAGCTTCTCTGCAGATCCTATCTAGCTGTGTCATTCACCCAGCAGATGGAGGAAGTGCTGATGACAGCAGGCCTCCCATAGACCCTTTGATCAAACCACAAAGTACAAAACTGTTACCCTGTTGTTACTTTAAGTAAGCTAATGAATGACCAAGCAAGAGTACAGATTGTAACAGAAAGCTTCTGCTCACAAAATACGTATCAGTGTTATCTACCTATTGAAGGAAGTATTTTATCAGTATCTACATATTTATTAATAAACTTTGCTGATCAGATATTTTGGTTTATTTATACAATATCTAATTTAGAGGGGTGAATGTGAGCTTGTTGGCATGGTATGTTTAGCAAGTGAAGCACACTATAGTGCAGATATGGTATATAATTGGAAAACACAATATAAAATACAAAAATTCCCAAAGGGACTAATTTTCAGCTTCCAAATATACAGTACTGTACCGGTAAATTAGAAAAGCAATTTTTTTTTCTTTTTTGTGTTCAATATATTTTCAGATATAATAGAAGGTTTTAGGCATTTTTTCATTGTATCATACTTTTTTACTCCCATATTTACTTAAGTAATATCTTTATTGAGGTAATGCTATTCTTACTTTAATATAGCTTTTGGCAATTCTACAGAAATCCCTGAGGACAGTAAACGCTTCTTTAAACCAAACATGCACAGGCACAGAGACACAACTAGACTTTTTTACACACGCTTCCTTGTTCTAGTGTTATTTTCTGTCTGCTGAGCTCATGTTACAATTCACAGAACAAGTATGTAGCGTATCTTTACACTGGAGCTGGAGCACTGCTCTTACACAGGTTACTTGCTGTATTAGTTTCAAATCCTTGAGGTTTTGAGTAGCGTGATTTGAATATTTGTGGTATTTGCTTAATTTGCTAATGTGTATAAATGTTAGTTGTTTAATAAACATGGCTCTAAACACCACAAAGAATAACAAACAGAACCAAAGAATAACAAACACACACAAAAAAGGGCTAAATAAATAACAGAGCCAAGGTTGCAGACTCCTGATGTAAAAGATAAAAACCATGATCCTATCTTAATACAGCTAGAGCTTAAAGCTGACTGTAACTAAATGTTCATCTTAAAGGGAAAATATTAAAACTGCTCCAAGGGACGTATGAGTTGGGGTCCTTTCCGTCAGTGCATATAATCACAAGATTTGTATTTAGTATTACACTAAATAAAAAAAACAGATCTAAAACAGTAAGAATTTATTATAATAAGTGTGTGCGCCCATAATTTGAGCAGGTAAATAAGGCTACGTTCACACTGCAGGCCTTGATGCTCAATTCTAATTTTTTTGTGAAATCCGATTTTTTTGCATTGCCGTTCACATTTCCAAATATATGCGACTTGTTTTTGATCTCCTGTGTAAACTGCAGTAATACAACTAATTGTCCCGCATGTGCAGTAGAGGACGCAATGACGTCACAGGCCAGCATGCTCTTTTTTTCTGGAAGTAAACATGGATGTTATTGCTGGCGCGCATATAGCAGCCTTTTCCAACCATAAAAACACAATATTTTCAATATGGTTAAATATAAATACTGCTCTCCGCATCATCATCTGCCATGGTTGTTATTTTTCTTGCCGCTTCTGCGTAGCAAGATGCATAGTAGTGACCTTTGTCGGGTATTAATGACGTTCCGACCTGGCCGTTCAGACACAGGTCGCATTTGAAAAGATCAGATTCGTATCGGATTTAGGACCACATACACAAGTGGCATGGGTTGGATTGGAAAAATATCGGATCTGTGTTGTTCAGACAGCCATGAAAAGATCAGATTCAGGTGGCATATGGGCAAAAACATTGGATTTTGGTCACTTCAGGCTGCAGTATGAATGTAGCCTAAAATGAGACAACCAAAGTAATGAATATTATCTCCTTGAACCCCAGTCGGCCTCGGCAGATGGCCGCTCACACTGAGCCTGGTTCTGCTGGAGGTTTCTTCCTGTTAAAAGGGAGTTTTCCCTTTCCACTGTCGCTACAAGCATGCTTAGTGTGAGGGATACCGAGTCATTGAGTCGATGCAATCAACCGGTTTTCCTTAGATAGAAAACTTTGAATCAATTTGACTGTATGATCTGGTTAACTGTAAAGCGCCTTGAGATGACTTGGCACTATATAAATAAACTGAATTGAATATTTTTGCCCTGATATTAAGTTAGATATAATGGTCTTGAAAAAGGATAACAGAGTTGTTAGTTGAGTTATTGAGTTTCTCTACTCATTCAAGTACATTACTTAAGTACAGTTTTTGGTAGGATACTCCGTCTTTTCCACACAAAAAAAAAAAAAAAACAAGAAAAAACTTGACTGCCCTGTAGGACTGTTTTGGTGGGTGGGTGGTATTTAAACTCGGGAGCGCGCGCTGTCAGTGGACGCGCCCCCGTGCCCTCCCAGCGCTGCCTTTTAAAGCAAACTCTCACAGCATGCTATTTCCCACTTGGCCAGAGGAAGGGACACGGTGCGGAGCTCCTGTGTCTTTCATTCCACCACCCTTTCCTTCGTCACCTCCATCCTCCTGGTTGTTCAGTTTAACTCTATAATAGTCTAATTTCCTCAGTTAGCTTGTTTCCGTCATGTATCGGTATTTCGGGGAGCTGTTGAGCCGCTCTGCGGGAAGTGCCCTGGCCTCGGGATGCGTCGATTCCGCTCTCCCGGCTTCCTCCTCCCTGATGCGGGTTCGCCGCTATGCCGACGCGGCCGAGCAGCCCGACGACCCCAACTTCTTTAAGATGGTAGAGGGCTTTTTCGACCGCGGTGCTGCTATCGTGGAGGACAAGCTGGTGGAGGACCTGAAGACCAGGGAGAGCTCCGAGCAGAAAAGACACCGGGTCCGCGGCATCCTGCGCATCATCAAGCCGTGCAATCACGTCCTGAGCGTGTCTTTTCCAATCAAGAGGGATAACGGAGAGTGGGAGGTGGTGGAGGGGTACCGCGCCCAGCACAGCCAGCACAGGACACCATGCAAAGGGGGTGAGAAGCGATCCCTCTGCTCTGCTCACAGTTAGCTTTAGCATGTAGCTTCAGTTAGCAGGGTTAGCTTCCTAAACAAACTTCCAGGCACTGCAGCAGGTGTCCAAACAGAGCTTAACAGTTTCCTCCAACTTAATAAATTTTATTCCTCTTAAGTTTAAATAAAAAAACACATTACTTCTTTATAATAATCAGCATTTTTTGCTGTTTAGTGTAACAGTTTGCAGTGACCTTCCTGTTTACCTGTAGCTGCAATAGGCTATGTCACCCAGGCTGAACTTTACTCTCATTATAAACATGTTAGGAAAAGTTTCCAAAAGAGTTTAATGTTTCATTTGAGAGAAAATGGAAATATTCTAAAAATAATACCAAGATCATATAAGTAGGCTTTGACATATAGATGATTAGAGCTTTTTTTAATGTGACACATAAAGGATGTACCCCAAACTGACTTTAGATCAATGAAATTGACATAATGTCTACTATTATTTCCCTAATTTATGATGCATTAAATGTTTGGAGTTTTAACAGTGGTGGGAATAATTGACTTCTGGTGGTCCTTTGTGCATATTTTCTGGCTAAATTTGTTAATCTATAATGGGTCTGAGAAGTTTCTGAATAGACCGGCTGAATCTGGTTGTTTTGGTTTGTATCAATGATGATCTGAAGATTTCCACATATTAAGCTGTTTCTAAGGAAGCTGCACAATTAACACTGCTGTGATAAATCCAGCAGTGAAAGTAGGAGCTGCAGGAACAATGGTGGAAGCATGCTTTTTTTTAATCATCATTAACAAAATAATCCTTTGAGCGTTTGGTTACAAAGTTCTTTCCATGCCCCATGTATAATATATGCCTCCTTTTTTAAAATGACTTCCACACATTCAAAATAAGATGCAGCATGATCACAGCATCAAACACCTCTTTTGAATACTTTTCTCTGAACAGGAGTTTTCAAGAATGTAGTGAAATGCTAATATCTTTCCCCACATAAGTCAGTCAGACAGAGCATTTTGAAAGTTTAATGTAAGCTTGTGGACAGTTACTACTACTGATTACTAAAAAAAAGTGTTTCATTGAAATTTCAGTCTGACTTAAGTTCTTTTCCTGCTGTATGGAGCATGAAATAATGCTACACTGCTGGTCAGCTGGCTTAAAGAAGGCATCTAAGCATCTTTCCTTTTAAGATAGGTTGTTTGGAATTTACTTTCTAGTTGCAAAAACGCTGTCATGTGTGGAAACTACAGTGGTACGCTTTCATACAGGCTTGATACAGGAATAAATGGCCAGCCAATAAAATTCTATTGTATTGCTATGCTTTAATAAAAGTAAGAGTTATATTATACACAAAAAGCAATGATAAGCCTTACTAAATATAAGGTGTTAATCTTATGTTTGTTTACTGCATACATACCACTTTATTCAATATATTTGTTTACTATAGTACCTGCTTATGGTTTTATATATGTAAATGCTTCTTTTGTCAAATTTAAAGATGGGATTCTCCACATGACTCATTGTAGTAGCTCTAATAATTAAAGTGGCTGCTTTGTATATATTTTAACTTACAAATGTGTTTGGATTTGAGCTGGAATATTTGAATAAATGAGGGACGTGAATGGAAACAAATCGGGCACATGTGTGTAAAGAAGGGAGGAGGTGTGTTTGAATAGGCACTCCTATTTATTAGCAGTATTAGAGGAAGGGGGGGCCCTCTTTGTAGAAAGGGAGACACCTTTCTGTTTGTCAGCCCTTTAGTGTTCATGGTTCAGTGCTGAGAAGTGGACGAAAAGGTGTGTAAACTCTTCAAACCTCTCCTGTCTGTAGACATATTCGGGGAAAATCAAATGTGCATAATACACAGTGGAGAGTTTGTCTATAGAGAGAGCATTAGCATCTAAACTTTAGATTGCTACTCAATCATTAATGCCACATGGTAAGTAACTATTGCCATTTGCTCCTCTAGATGACTGAGTAGTAATGGGTGGTCTTTATGAATAATTAACTCTCTGTGAGTCTGTGTCCCATTGTAGAAATTTAAAAAAGTTGCATAAAAGAAGTCTGTTTGTATAATGAATACCTGTCATGAGCAGATGGGGTCCTTAGATTGCTAAAGTTGTTTTTTGCATAATATAACCCCTTATGTGCATACATACATGGTAAGCTAACAGCTGCAGAGGTAGGTCAAACCATTTTCCCAAAGTTTAAGCTGTTCTTTAATCTGTTCTCACAGAGTAATAAAGATATAGAATAAAATATTGAAAGCACTATAGACAGTTGGACACTTTAGTATCAATGAGGTCTTTAAAAATGAAGCTTGAAGAGTCTAAAGATATGTGATTATCTCTGTTAAATGAAACGTTTTTAAGCTTTTTCGTGGTCCATACAGTGCTCCCCTGAAAGAGTGAGAAGAGCTTGAGTAGATGATGGGAAAGCTGCATGTATTACAGGAGAGTTAACGGGAACGATGGTCGGTGAGGAAGTTATTACTAAAGGCTGAGATACACACAGGCTGATTTGGCGTCTGATTGGATTGAAAAATGGATCGTATCATGAAAATGACATCTGGCTGAAGAGACACGTGGTGGCAAAGTAAAACACGTCCTCTTTGTGGGGAAAATACAAAGTGAATCATCTGAATTGCAAATTAAATATTAAATTAAACAGAATATTTTTTTATTTTAAAAGATTTTTAGTAGGGAATTTTGATAAAAGTTTTCAATAGATTAATTGATTACTAAACAATCTCTATCTGCCGCCGTAAAATAAGCAAGGCAACAAATGTTTTTTGGAGTTTATTCAAACTATCAGAGATCAAGACTTTCAACCGATTACTGGAATGCTGAAAATGCTCTGATTTCTCTTTGTTCTCATAAAGAACAACATGAACATGAAAAACAACATTTTATAAAAACCTAATTGCTTATTTGAAAAGTCTTTTAAAGGTAAAAGTAAGTCTGTGTTTAATAGTTACTGGTGTCCTACAGGCATCTACCTCATGAATGGTAAAAAAAAAAATTGTTTCAGGGTTGTTCTTATATTTGCTCATATTTTAACTAGTTTAAAACTGATATCAAAGTCGAACACGAACCAGAGATTTGAAATCATTCATAACGCTGTGATAGTTCCTCTATAAGATTTATAAACTGACCTTAAACTGAGGTGTTGGGAGTCACTTTATCACTTGCTGTTCCTGGAATCAAACTTCCAACAGTTTATATAGAAATCCATCAGATCTTACTTTGAGTTAGAGAAAAAAAAATTCTATTGTTTTTTTTTTTTTTCTTTTTTGACATTTCAGATGTGCAATATTTTGTTTCTGGTTTCCCATTATTCAAATTGGGATGGTGTAGCTGTTGTGTTGATTTTAAACCAAATTAGTTGATGATAAGAACATAAGCAACAGCTGTTATCTTTCGTGCCGTTTAATGATTGATCCAATGTGTAGACCCTTGGCTAAGGTCAGATCAAACTACAAAGTGCAGGTGTCACTGTGTGTGCGCACTCATCCTCCCCTTTAAGATCCAAAATGACTAATAGACGTCAAACCGGACATTTACATGCAGGATGGGTGGGTAGGGGTATGAATGATTTTCATTGGCTGCATAAAGATGGAGTAAATGTGTGGGACGATCTGGTGCATCTCTTGTCCTTCAGCTAGCAATGCACCAAAGGTCAGGGTCTGCTGATTTCAGCTCCATCAGCAGGTAAATCCTGAAATATCAGGTTTTGTTTATAAATGTTGCAAAACGGGGGGAAAAAAAAACAACAACTCCTGCTTCATTTATGCAGTTGCTAGATAAAGGATGAGATCCAAAAAATGAGGATGTCCGTTTAATTAAAGACATCATGTGGAAGATTTACCCCCCTTTTTCTTATTATTTATATATCTGAGAGCACTGAGAAGTAAAATCAGAGATGCACCTAAAGCTGTTAGCCGGCATTAAAATATCTTTCTAATGAAAGGCCTACAGCCCTTCAGCAGTGGTTTAATAAATAGAATCGATGCCTCCAAAAAAAAAAATCCTATAAACTGTAATTTAGTTTAATTATGGCACAATGGTTTAACAAGTAAGTTGACTGAACCCAAGATTAGATCAGATCTTCCTTTGTTATTGCTCAGAGGGAGAATAAAATCTTTACAACAGTCAAACTTTATAGCAGATATAAGAATATGGTTTTGGTGCAAGGATGTTTTAATGGTGATAATGAAGTAGCGGTAATTGCAATGATGGAAAAGCTTATTAACTAGCTGGACCGTATAGAAATATGTATAATATCAAAGGTCTGATTGGTAAAGAAGCTTCAATTTTTAAAATGAGATTATTTTTAGAAGAAAATACTACATAGTATATTAAATGAAATGTGCAGCTGGGTAGGATAAGCTGAAAAATGGCATGTAATAATTGTGCAGCAAGAGATTACTTCAAAGAAAAATGCTAAAAACTATAATTTCCTATTTGTTCCGAGCAGGGATGTTTACCAGCTGCTGGAAGGGATGATAACAGCCCAATTATAGCCAGATTTTACAGCCAGATTCTGTCCTTTGTTAGAGCAAAGTGTTGTAGATTTGCTTGGCTGGATGTGTGGGTGGGGGATGGATAGATGGCCATGTTTCCCCCCCCATTTAATTTGATCAGTATGCTCTGGCCTGAGTCAACTCGGCTGATCTTTGGATGAATGGAAAGGAAGAAAAAGGGAAAGGCTCAGCTGCTGCGTTCTCAGAGATGGAGCTTTGTTTTATGTTTCTTTCCTGTGACCTTTTTATTTAAATCTATTCTAATAATGTTAGTCCAGGATTTAAAGGTTATTCTGCAGAAACCAACAAAGAAGGCATTACTATAAGCTTAGATTTGCTTGCTGCTGAATTTGCAGATGGAAAAATGCGACGTCACCCTCAGGTTTCTCTCAGAGCTCTTGCTCTGGATGTCCTATTTTTATAATTGCTCTTAAATTACACTCACACAGGCTATGTGCCAGTAAGACGGAGCGGTTTAAAACGCATAGCCTGGTTTATGATCTCACTGCAGGGCATATGTTACTGTAGCGACTGTAGTAAACGCCAGACAACAGGAAGCGATGAGTGCAAGTTGAGGGATGGGTTCAGAACGGAGGCCTGTGATTGGTTCACTCAGTTTCCACCCGTGCAGCAAAGCACACATGAATTCAGCGATGGGCACCTGAGTGTGGAGTGATTTTCGACCCCTTAATGTGGTGTTGAGTAATCATGAGTACAGTGTCCTTTGTTTTACCCTCCTATCTAATCTGTTTGCTCTTTTTTTCTGGCGCTGTGCTGCATTTACAGCAGACAGTATGTGGAAAACAAACGTTTTAGAGCTTTAACATATCAGGTTATCTCACAATCCACTGACACAGCTCTGTGGCTGTGACTTTGATTCATTTAAATCTTAGAAAAAGCTGCTTAATAGTATTTATTCTTAATAATTGGTCCTAATCAAATGTTGGACATTGAGACAGAAGTGAAAAACACTGTACAGTCCCACACAGACTGGGATGCCTGTTTATTCGCCATATGTTTGCGGTGTCTGTTTGTCTCTTTGGAGTATTTTTGTTAATTGCTTCCCTGTTGGTGCTTCTTCCTCAGGTATCCGTTACAGCACCGATGTGTCTGTGGATGAGGTGAAAGCCTTGGCCTCTTTGATGACCTACAAATGTGCTGTTGTTGGTTAGTTTTTTTTTTTTTTTTGTATTTTGAAATCTACATCAAAGAGCTACATTTGCACTTTTTCATTACTGCTTATATACATGTTTACATCCTAATTATGCTACCCAATAATAAAACTTGCTTGCTCTGTTTTTTAACTGTAAATAATGTAATTCTGCACCATACTTTCCACAGATGTGCCATTTGGGGGTGCTAAAGCTGGAGTAAAGATCAACACCAGGAACTACTCTGTAAGACTTCTTATACTTTTCCCTTCCCTTTCCTCAGATGTGGAAAATAAATGCATGTTTAAGAATCATACATTTAAAGTTTTACTACTTTTTATGTGCCGCTGCACTCCAGGATTTAGTTCATAAGGAAAATTTAATATTTTTTGCAGGATAATGAGCTGGAGAAGATAACCAGGAGGTTCACCATTGAACTCGCCAAGAAGGGTTTCATTGGTAAGTCTGTCTGGTTAGGATAGTTTGTTTGGGCTCAGTTTCTTTGAAGTTTAATCGAAAAGCTTATTCAGTTACTGAGATAATTTGTATATCCCTTATGTTTTCTAAGAGATTTTATGGACTATATTTTCTCACTTGGTTGGACCTCCTCTTTTTTAGACTTAACTTTTCCTTTAAAATTCCTGTATGCAGTACTGTGAACAACCAGTAGAATTAGCTTTTTGTGGCGTACACAGATTTTTTTTTTAGGCAATCGATGGTTTTCTGATGGATGGCTTTCTAGTTAACAGTGTTCTCTGAAAATATGTTGGCCTTCCCTGAGTCAAAACCTAAAAAATTTTTTTTTTATTAACTTTGATCTATAATCATTGAATCGAGAAGTAATAAATGCTTGAAATGCATAGTTCTGCATGTAATAAAATAGTATGATGTACAAGGTAAACTTTTGAATACCAGTTTGCATTGTAAATTAAATGGGTCAACAATGAAAATATATAAAAAAAACATTGAACCAGAAAATGAAACGACTAATAGAAAAGCAAACGAAAACTTCTGCTTGCTCACCAAAGGAGGAGAAAGTTGATGGAAGCTAGCTGTAATTGCTAAGCTGCTAAATGTACAGCACAAACATAAATTAGCTGGTTTAGCTTTGTGTTTGGGTCGCCCTTAACTGGTCACAGGCAGGTTTTATGTGTGTTCAGTGTTGTTGGTTAATTGCCTAGATCCAGTTTTAACTCTCATTTGGAGATAATTTTCACTCAATTTACTGTACAGTAAAGAGGCCATCTTTCCTCCTCCTCTACTAGTCATGTTTGCCTCTGAGTCGGAGCCTTCCTGCACCATAACTCTAACTGTTTAATGGAACTGCCTCTCCCTTTCTTCCTTCCTCTTTGTTTTCCAGGGCCTGGCATCGATGTCCCAGCTCCAGACATGAGCACCGGAGAGAGGGAAATGTCCTGGATAGCTGACACTTACGCCAACACCATTGCACACACTGTGAGTTCTCAAACAGGCATAACCGATCTTGTCTCTTAGATGGAAATGTGGTGCACGCTTTTTTAAAAAAATAGGCCGAACCAAAAACAAGGAATGAGTCACATTTAAACCACGAGCACTGATTTCCTGCCTCTCCCTTCCCAGCTGACCTAAAAGACTCCCCTCCCTTTCTCTCTTAAAGCAGCTTTTGAAATTAAAGCGAGTCTCTTTTTGTTGTTTGTTCATCAGTTTCAGCCAAAGTCATGAGGGGAAAAACAAATTTCCCTTCAATGCTTCCTTTCTCTCATATATATATTTGAAAGCATTTGCAAAGCAGAGAGTTCTTTGACCCTCCCAGGAGTTTTTTTGTGGTTATCTTGTTTTGGGAAGTGTATAATGGGAGTCTCTGCATAGAACAGAAGCTTAAAGGCTGCATGGTTTCAGATCCATGAAGATCAGACCAGATTCTTTTAGCTAACCAAACTTTTGACCGTATCTCTTCAGTAATAACTTCTCCTTTTATTTACCTAAAAATGCATGCTTAAATATTTAAAAGAACCCTAGCATGATTGAAGATGTTGTCTCTACAACAAAAATGCTTAAACTTTAGTCATCCCAGCGTTGGTGCAGTACAAACCCCTTGTTAATGAGCTGCAAAAGAAAGCATTGGATTACTGGGAGTCTATTCTAACTTTGTAGAGCATTGGGTCAGTGTGCTGCCCCCTCCCTACCTGTTTCTGTTCACTGACAATCGGGTGACTCACAGCAGTTTACTTCACTTTTTTTTTTTTCTTTCTCTCCTACCACATGAAAGTCTTGAACTATTTACATTTGCAAAAATCACAGTCATTAATATGGTGGAAACTAATGGAGAGCCACTAATCATACTTTATTGGTGCTGTTTTAAAAGCTATAGGGGATAAAATAGCAGTATGTCTGCTTAGCTGGCATCTGAATGTTTTGACCATATATACTGTTTGTTTTTTTAGATACGTGCTTAAGTTTAAATAGATTTCACAAGAAATAAATGAATGCAATGAACTGTGGTCATGAAACTGCAACATAAAGTTGTGCATCATCAGCATATATCAGAGATGGGGGATCTGGAGTCATCAAGTCATCTCTATGTCATGTATTTGTTCTGACCAGGTGAGTCCAATCTGCACAGATTAAACCAGATTGGACTCACCTGGTTCAGTGGCTGGGTAGAACAAATACATGACAAAGAGATGACTTGTTGACTCCAGATCCCCCATCTCTGGCATATATATAGTAAGTTTTCTAAAGCTCTATAATCCAAACAATTGGACAGAATGTCATTGAAAAAACATTGTTTGTGATCCATTCCTTGGAAACGCAGACAGAATTTTTATTTTATTTCTTTAAGGTTTATAAATTCCCATTTAAAGTTGTTCATATCTGCCAAGGAAGATCCAGGCTTATCTAGAATATAAAACGATCCTTCCTACTTTTCCAGTCTTAACCAGCATATTATGATTGTCTGCTTTAAAAGCATTAGAAATGCAGATTTTTTTTTATACAAAATTATAACATATAAAATTATATGAAGAAGAGTCTGAGAATTAGAGGGATGTTCACCTAAAATCCTAACATCTTATAAGTTGATGTTATTGTGATGATTAGTGTTGCACCGATGCCATTTTTTGTTTTTGGCTCCGAGATATGAGATCTGCATACTTCTTAGATGTAAAATAATTGACTAATACAAAGTGAATCCAGTAGAACTTTTTATTGCCTATCTGGGTGACAATAGTTGAATAAACTATTGGCTCTCAAAATGGTATTGGTGCCCTAATTGTTGGTACTGGCAAGATACCGATGCCACCATTTTAGTGCAGGATCGTGGCCCTGTCCAATATTGGTATCGGTATCAGTGCAACACTAGTGATGATAATGATAAAAGTGATGTTTAAAAAGACCCATTACTCCTTCAGTCTTTCTTAGGTAACTGTGTATTTTTTGTTCGGTCGTAGCCTCAAAATCACAAATACTCATGAAGAAAAAAAACACATACTTAAAATCATGCAAGTTATATTGAGCATCTCTTAGCAGCCGCATTTAATCATATTCTTCAACATTTTCAATAACCCAATGGGAAAATGATGAAACAAAGGAAAAAAATAGAGTTTGATGAATTCACGCAGTTTTATTCAGTTTTATCATGTAGTTGATAAATCAATATGCTTATGACTGGAAATTTATCACAATAAAAATAAACGATATGATAAATGCCCACTACTAAAGGTGGTTGACATAAAGATGCACATAATCCTAAAAAACATGGACTTTTAAAACCAAAAACAGGTTATTCTGTTGTTATGGCTTATTAATTCTGTAGGAGGGGTTGTAAATCCTGCTAACTAATTTATTACATTTCTTTTATTAGGATACTCGTAATCAAGGCCCTTCAGAAGACGTCAAGATAAATAAAAGTTTTCGCTATTAACTATTAATTAACAGCAGTTAACAAATGCATCATTTGTAAAGGATTGTTGAACTGTGTCTGTCCTTTAAATGACGCCCTTTGATCCAGATGACTGAGCTTTCTGAGAGGTGACAGATTCCTGTGTGGGATAGCTAACAGTACAGGGCTGTGGGTAGTTTTGTATTGATGTTTGGTGAGATTTATTCTTTCTAAACATAAGGTAGTGCATCCATTTTTACTGCAGTCATAGCCAGACCCTCCCATTGATGTCATCCTCAGGCTGTTCAGTCCATTCATTTTCAAAATTCCCACATTCTCCATCTTAACACAAGAAAAGTCGAACTGAACTTTCTACCAAATATAACTTGGGCTTCAGTGATATGTGACCCCTGTGTGTGCACTGTGCATGTATGTGAACATGTAATGGACTCCTCCTTGCATGTGTTCACAGGACATCAATGCTCATGCATGCGTGACAGGAAAACCCATCAGCCAGGGAGGAATCCACGGCCGCATCTCGGCCACCGGACGTGGAGTTTTCCACGGCATTGAGAACTTCATCAACGAGGCGTCCTACATGAGCATGCTGGGCCTTACACCTGGCTTCCAGGACAAGACCTTCATCATCCAGGTGCATAGTACTCTGATTTATTATTTTATTTTAGAGTTTCTGTATGCAACATCAACTACTGTTAAAACACAGAAACTTTAATTTGAACTGTTTTGAAAAAAAAAAACGTATTTATTACAAATCGTAATACATTGAAATGGGACACTATGTGATGAACTAATAACGATGTAGTGCATCATTTTGTAGTGAGTTGACAAACATCCACAATTATAAAAATCATTTAAAAAAATCTATTTTTTTTTTTTTTTTTTAACAGTGTCCTGTCTGGCAATAAGAATGATTGTCTTGATGCCAAAAAGAGCCCAACAGATTTTACTTTCACAAGTGTAGCAGTATGGC